AAACATGCTGAGGTTAATTGGTGATTCTAAATTGTCCGTAGGTGGAAATGTGAGTGTGCTTGGTTAGAAATGTTTTGGTGTCCATGTGTCTATGTCTCACTGCTTTCTTCTCAGCTCCCCCTTGTGGTAGCCAGCCGTGCCACTACTTTTGATGTTCTCTGTAATTTTTGATGGACAGGTGTGAGCACCTCCAGGCCACACTTTTATCCACCTTCACTTTATTAGACTTAATCTTTCCCAAATTTTTATTTTAGTTAGATTTTGCCAGGTGGTTTCCTACACACGACCGGTTTAGTCGTCCACGTTGCATCACATCCGTTGATCAGCAGGTGGCAGCAGCGTCGTGTCTGAAAGGCCTGAACGCAGTCAATGGGCCTCGTTTCCTCTCACTCAGACAGGAAGCTGCTAATCTGCTTTAGTCGGCTGAACCGTGGCTGCCCTACTTCACCTCAGGTCAAAGTCTCATAGCAGCGAGTGAGGAACTGAGTCAGTGACGCTGCCCACCTGACGGATTCAGACCCACACACGGCCTCAGAATAGTGTTTGTTCCACCGGCACACCTCTTTTTTAGTTACCGGTCTCACCACCGTTTTCCTGAGCAGATACTCGCTGCACAGTTTCTCGTGAAAGCACCGACTTATCTGCGGTTTTAAGTGTTGTTATTGTGTCTTTGCTGTTCTTGCTATGAGTACATGTTAGGGGGATATTTTGCATCTGTTTTGAGCTCTTCACTGTGGTATAAATATAAATATATGTTTAAAAGTCAGTGAGTGGGTAATGGAAAGAGAAGCGGTGGGAATTAGAAGGCAGGATGTGGTTTTGTTTGTGATGGTGCGATACTCTCACCAAACGATGTGCTTCAGGAGGACCGTCCTTCATCACAACAGTTTGTTATCTGCAGATCATTTTTATTATTAAACATGAAAACAAGAGACATATGTTCCTGTGAAACCAAACTACTGACAGCGTATCAAGTGTCTGGAGATGACTTCTTTGGAAATTCCAGAGGCCGTCATGCTATTGTGGTTAATTTGGTGTGGCCTGTCCAGGAAGTGGCATCTGCGGCTGACGTTTGAGCTAAAGCTGGTACGATATCAGATATTCGTTACCCGGTTGTCGTGGCCAAAAGAATTCATGAGAAATTTGGTTATCAGATGGATTAATCTCGAACTTTATATGTGTTGTTGTCGTCTTTGAGGTGGCGAGAGAGTCTGTAGCTGTGCTGTATGCTCTGCTGTGTCATCATTTGTGTGTTATTAGTCAGCATACATTCATAAAAATCACAGTTATCACCAGAAAACAGAAGAAACTGTTTTAATACGTTTTTGAGATAACACCAATCTCACACGTCTGGGTTCAAAAGTCAGCGTGATTAGCATTTTATTAGACAGTAGACGTGTGCAACCAAGAAACTGCTCTAGTACGAGGGAGTTTTACACACAGAGGACTGCGTAGAATACGTCTAAACCACCAAACCACAGACTAGTTAAACACAAGAGTCGCTGTGCATGAATGTTCTGATCACCATCAGGAGGCTTTACGGTCAGATCTGTAAATCACGTCCTCTCGCAGTGTTTTCTCCCCAGGCTCCCATTTTCCAGATCACCTATTGACCACAGCCTGTAATGAGAAAGAAAGATTTATGAGTTTGATTTTCCTTTTTTTTTTGCTAACTTTAAACTGTGGTTGGATGAATCCATTAAACAGACATGTGAAATTTATGAGAAGCAGCCGCGTAACATCCTTGAAGCAATCCCAGTATGTTCATGTTCACTGGTTTAATAAGAGGGCAGCAGGGCGGGGTCGTGTGCACATGTGTAAATGTCATCCTCTAATTTGTACGGCAGGACCGTCTCTTCTTCGTGATGGAGTTTGTGAACGGCGGGGATCTCATGTTCCACATCCAGAAGTCGAGGAAGTTCGAAGAGGGCAGAGCACGTTTCTACGCGGCGGAGATCACGTCTGCTCTCATGTTCCTGCACAGTAAAGGCATCATATACAGGTCAGAACCAGACACATTACTGTACGTCAAACAGCAGAGCGTACAGGACGTCTCCCTACATGTATCTGCTGGTATACATCCGAGATCCTTCATGCTTCAACAGCACTGCTTATCCTGTCTCTTCTCAGATATGTTTTAAAGGCTGGACATATCAATAAACTGTTGGTCAGAGGGAAGCTCCACAGATTTTCCATGTTCATTATGGGAGCTGCTGCATGTCTTGTGCAGACAGCAGAATAATGTCAGGACACTGTGACTCGAGGGAGAATTAGCTCTGATCATATCAACAGTGGTTATTTAGCCTTTAGCTTGGAGACAACAGTTTTTTTTTTGTGAGTCTCTGCTACAAACTGGAGTAGTTTCAGTGGCTCAGTCCAATAAAATATGCTGTCAAGAGGCCTTATTAGGATCCAGCATCTCTGGAGCTCGACTCCATACAAGGGACTAAAAGTCAGAAAACATCTGCAGGGCGGATTTTTACCTTTAATGAATGCTTCAGCTTTATGGAAATGAAGTTCAGCAACTATATGCAGCTGTGAACACACACTTTTAAAGGTTGTGTATTTCAGGGCAGTGCTGAGTTTCCAGTGACTCCTGTGACTCTGGATTTTCTTTGATGGAATCATTAAATCACATGCGTTTTTGTCACAACAAAAATCATTCATTTTGCTTCTTTCTTAAATTTTTTTATACGTCTTATGGAAATATGACAACATCTGCTGGGTCAGAAATATCCACACAGCAGTGCTAACATTTGGTTTAACGTCCTTTGGCCATTTTTACCTCAATACCTTTTAGGAGCCGTGCACAAGCTTCTGGTTGTGTCTCCTCCTGACAGACAGAACTGGAACAGTCAAACTAAATTTACTGTCCGACCCAGACTTTATAAATAGCATTATTATTAATAGACTAATGAGATTAATTTGCATGTTTTTCTATTGCTTTTGATAGTGTTTACTCCAATCCCGGCCTCGGATGTGTGAGCGTTTACTCTGACACCTTTCTCGGTGGGCTCCCTGCCAGCGCACCACGATAAGGAAAGGGGGACATCATGTGCGCTAACAGCAAATCCCGAGTTATATTTAGTGATCAGCGTGTCCTTTGTCAGTTCACACCGCATAGCATGACTTTTAGCCGAAGGAGCCACACGCAGTTTGCATGCTACGACTAAAATAACGAGCCAAAATACTAGCATGCACATCAGGCAAGTGGAACAAAGCTCCTTGTGGCCCCAGTTACTGCGTTGTGTAACGTCTTATCGTGACTTGACTCGTTATCTCCGTGTGAGATTCAGCTCAAGTCTCGTCTATGTTTCCTGTCAGTGTTGTCCTTAAAAGATAGATGCAGTGGTTTTGTTCGTTCATTTTGAGAGTTAATTCCAAACCTGCTGGACGCACACTGGCCGACTGTAATGGTTTTGAAGGTGAGTGAGGGGAACTAATTAAGCGCTGGTCTGTAGGAGGTCACACCCTGTATCCTGAACAGCTGCTCAGTGTCATGCAACCCTGTAAAAAAACAAAAAGCAGTGACTTTATGAAGCTTTACAGGTGTTGTGTTTTGGTGTCACATTCTTTTATTGCCGTGCACAAAATCGCAGGACGCAAAATAATAAAAATGATCATCTAATTTTGATTTAGCATGTGAAATAACACACGGCTACATTCTGACACGCATCGCTGTGATAAGACCTGAACTCGATGCATATAGATTTCAGAGAGGCCGTGATAGTTTGATGCTCTTTAAACCCGTAACCACGGTGATGAAAGAAAGAAAAAAAAAACATAAAATCTCTCGGTCTGTGCGTCAAAGCGTTTGTCAGTACTTCCTCTTCTCTTTCTTGGAAATTTTGATGTTGGCGCAAGTCTGCCTCTTACTCAGTCCGTTCAGTGCATCAGAGTTGTCGCACCTCCAGCTGTTTACCGTTAAACTCGATGTATCAGTGTCCAACTGACCCGCTTCTCACAGGAGGAGGCTCAAAGTGTAACTCAGACGTCCTTCAGACGTGGTGATGCTGGTGGACGAAGGATGCTTTGGTGCCGTTGGTGGTTTGTGTTGAGGTGTTTGGTCGCGCGGAGCTTTGCAGCATTAAAAATGTTCATCAAATTGCAGAACTGGCCACACAGTGGTCCTCAGATTTATTCATATCCTCCCATTAAAGAAGGAAAGAAAGAGCTGAAATGAGCTGAAATTGACAAAAGTAATAACACTGGGTCACAAAAAAATCCTTTTTTGAAGGGGTGTAGGATTCTTTAACTGATTTAGGACATTTTTTGCAGCACTGAATCCAAACATGACGTCTGCTTTTCTGCATCAGCTCAGGTTTTTATGCCAACTCAATTTTTAAAAAAAACAATTTTACCACAACATCGATTACATTTTTTTGACATTAGCGATTGATTTATTTTAGTATTTCTCATATGAAATCGGATTTTAGAGGAAAAATGGCATTTTCTAATCCTGTAATAAGCTAAATGATCCAAAAGTTGATGAGCGTAAACATTTGTAAAGGTAAATACAAGTAAATTGCATGTTTCATCAAATCAAAAATTTTTCTTCATTGAGCAAAACCAGTGTAATATTTGGATTCAGCACATTGCAATTGTCCAAAATCAGCTCAAAAAACTTTGACACCAAAATGGGTGTAAACCAGAGTAATAGATAAAAATTTAGTGAAAATCAGGACATTGCTTTTAAATTGTGGTTCAACAGAAATATATTTTTTAAAAAGCATGATGGGACCCATAAACTAATATTTTGTTGATTGATTGTTTGTCTGAGACAGATTGTTTGGGTTTTTTTAAATTATTCTTTTCAACCACAATTCAAAAGCAACGTCTTATTTCACTAAATTATAATTTAGCAAATTTTTATTTATTATTCCTTTTTTCAGTTTCTAGTTATTTGAGGGACTATTGTGAATTTCGCCTTTTCTTTAATGGAAGGCGATGAATACATTTGACTGTGTATAAGGCTGAGCAAATAACAGACACTCAGCGTTGTTACTGTCGCTGGCTTTCATTTATTTTTTCACCGTTTTGTTGGTCTGGTTGTTGAACGTGCTCTACTCTACGGTGGGCCAGTGTGTGAGCGTCGGCCTGTTGGGCTGCGGCGGACGCACACCATGATCCTGTGAGTCAGTGTTACACAATCAGCTTAAGGTGGAAAAGAGCAAACCAGATTAAACCAACCAAACCAGCGCTCAACCGGCAGTCAACCTTTCTGTTTTTGTATTTGTCATCCTGATTTTCGGAAATCGCTCCAGATCCTGCCAGTTGAATCAGCATTTTTTTTGACGCATTTCCTAAACAGTGCATCAGTTACACAGAGGCTGCCCATGTTGCTTACTATCTTCTGTGGAGCTTCAGGCTATCTCTGCAAAATGACCTTTGTCTGAAGTCTGGTCACCTGATCACAGATTATTCCTCGACTCCAGAGCCCGCACTCAGCAGGTTTAATCTCCCCGTCAGATGACAAAGCAGCAGCTGACGTGAAAAGAGAGCAGGAGATCTTTCCAGTGTTTGGCTGTGGGGGCATCCACATGCACGGTCAGCACAGGGAAAGATATGTACACTGGTCATACAGCGCATTTGATCTTTTATTCCACTCGAATTTAGAGTCATAATACGCTTTCTGTGGAAACCAAAGAGTGTGCACATGATTAGGGAGCCGCAAATGCCAAACACTTTGTGGTCATTAATCAGTTTTCAGCCCCCAACAGAACTACGCAGAGCAGTTTTATTATGATGCATCACGTATTTTAAATAAAATCTACTGAAACCAGGAGCTCGGGATTAATTTCTGCTGTAAAAGGTTGTATTGATTCTGGTTAGAATTAATTAAACAGGTACATTGAGCCAATTCATTTCATTCACAAACACACACAAACAACAAATGGCCTCACCTGTAAGTCAGCACCTGTACAAACAGAACAGCAACAGACTTTGTGTAACTTTGGTAAACAATGAAGACCCACAACCACCAAAACTGTGTTCCAAACTGAATATTTATTCAACAAAATGCATCTCTTACTTCATTCGCCTCCGGTCCGGGCGGCCACGTCCAATTTATTTACTGGTTTTGACATCTGAGCGTTTCGTCCTTCTCGCCAAGTGCTCATCAGAATGTTTCCTGGCTGCCACTTTACGGTCAGAGATTCTGTTGGTGTCGCCGGCTGCCACAAAAGTTTCGGTGTCCTCAGAAGACCTTTTCTTCTCGTCTCTCCACAAATTTCTACCTTGCTCGGCTATAATTAGAAACTGGACCCACAGGGTGCGACTTGGAGACGGAACGCAACCTGACATTTTAGCAGCTGTTGGTTTTCAATTGGATTTGATTCTTTATCCATTTATGTCCCTGAGAAAATATCTCACAGTTTTCCTTTCGTTCTGTGTTTGTCTTGCGTTTCAGGGATCTAAAATTGGACAACGTTCTCCTCGACAAAGACGGTCACTGCAAGCTGGCCGATTTTGGCATGTGCAAGGAGGGCATATTTGAAGGTGTGGCGACGGGAACTTTCTGCGGGACCCCGGATTACATCGCCCCAGAGGTCAGTTTCAACAGGACAGTTGCACTCAGAGTAGCACATGTGGGTCTTAAGGAGCTCTTCTATCACACAGAACATTTCCATTTTCAACATGCAGAGTTTACACCAAAGAAAAAAAATTCAACCACTTGTAGCTTCCTGCCCATGAGGTCCTCTGGGTTCATATGATGCACTTTCCAGTCTAATCCCCTCTCCATCACACCACCTCACTAAAAACAAACACCGCGGTCGCTCCGTGTCATTTCCAACTCTCTCCTGACTGACTGGAAAGCAGCAGCTGTGAACCCCGATCCCCTCATCAGGATGTGCATTCAGAGGTGTGCTGGGATTTCATAATGAGGGATTAAGATGATCTGTGTTCTCCCGTTTGAGGGATTTTTTCTCTGACCAAGACTGTGTGTCTGCATTTATGAAAGGCCTCTTCACTGCCCTCAACACTCGCTCCTCAGTGTGGCCTCACTGGCAACAAATCCGACCTGTCCATTAGCTAAACCTCACCGAGCGGCTGCAGGCTCGCCGTTGAGGCTGCGTCTGTGTCATAATGGTTCACTTTCTTGGCTCGCTCTGGTGTGTTTTCCACAGATCCTGCAGGAGATGCTGTATGGACCCTCTGTCGATTGGTGGGCGCTCGGGGTGCTGCTGTTTGAGATGCTGTCGGGACACGCCCCCTTCGAGGCAGAAAACGAAGATGACCTCTTTGAATCCATTCTCAATGAAGAGATCGTTTATGCGTCTTGGCTCAGCACAGAGGCCGTAAACATACTCAAAGCTGTGAGTGTTCGTTTTATATTCCCGGTTCGTCGCTCATCAGCTGTAAAAATGTGATGATGAGTGAACCTGGATGAGCGCCAGGTCGTGCTGAATTCCCCTCGGATCAGCGCTGTCGGACTTTGTTCACATCATACAATTGCAGGAAATGTCTGTTTATCTTTTTTTTGGTAAACTGAAGTAATGATAGAGGAAATCAATTTGTTCCTGGATTTGTGACCAGCACTGTGGAGAAAAACCAATAAGGGTAAACATTTACTAAAAGACCAGCTCCCTGCTTCACTGGAGAACGTACCAGAACACTGCAGCGTCATGCATTAGGACATCAAGGACCGCAGAGGCTTTGCCCTGAATCCCAGTGATCACGGGTTGATATTTGTTGTCCTTTGGACTGACTGACACTATCTGACTGCGGAGTGACTGGCAGCCAGACAGAGTCGGCCAGCCAGCTGTTTGGCCCGGGTCCTTTACATAACTATATTAAGGCATGGTCCACTGCCCAGCCACAGCACACAGGCTATAAATATGACAGCACCTCCTCCCTTCATTCCTCCTGTCTTTGCACGATGTTCTCCTCGTATCCGTGCTGTTATTCCAGCGTGCTTGAGGAAGCACCAAACCAATCTGCACTGCTGATTTGTGTCACACGTTACGTACTCAGTGGATTTAAGCGCTGCCGCTCTATTTTTACTGCAAGTTGATCCGTTGTAAGGTTCTCCTTGTTCTTGTAACAGAGTTAACGGTGGTTGGCCACAGTCTGGAAGTGTTGGGTTGATGTAGAGTAACGAATTCATTATTTCAAGATGCTTATTATATTATCACATCGGGCTGGAACAAACCATCATTTTCATTGTCGATTACTGATGATTCAGTCATAAAATATTCCAAAACGCCCTCCAGAGTTTCTCCGAGTCTGAGATGTCACGTCTTCAAAAAGTTCCTTTTGTCCAACCCATGGTTTAGATTAAAGATGTTCAATTTATGTTGCTATAAAACAACAACTTCTCACATTTCAGAAACTGGAACCAACATATCTGTAAGCTCTTCTGACTAAATGACTGACTTGAAGTTTTAGGACCAGTTTTGTCCTCTGATTGCTGTGAATCTTTTCTGCAAGTAAAGAGAAGAAGAGGCTTTTTTTCTTTTTTTTTTTGATGAAGTAATGCTGAGGAGGCAGCTGTGGTTCTGAGGGTGGCACAGCTGCCGCGAAGCCACGGAAACATGGCATCAACCTCAGTGGAATAGTTTTCAGATTTTGCGGTCTGCAGGCTTCTGAACTGACTTACCCCTCCTGGTCTGTCTAACGCACAGCTAGTTCCACCTCAAGGAACGTACCGGTCCACTGGTGTGGGTTTTTTTAATAATGTTTTAGCCCTTTAACTGCAAATCACAGCATCAAAATCACGCTCGCAGCTGCAAATCCCTGCATGCATCTGCTTTGGCAACAAACTGCCAAGTTTCTCTTCCGCATTCCCCGGCAAAAAAAACAAAAAGATGTTTTGATGTGAAGTGGAAAGAATACAAGAGATCATAAAGCTGAAGCTCAGCACTTAAACTGAAGCATGTTAATGATGAGATCAGGACTTCTGGAGGTGGTACGTCTGTCATCAAAACCTGCCAGAACCACGAGCCACATAGCTGCTTCCTCATCCTCGTGGGGCTTAGTCTTGCTGAGGCCTGCAGACTCGTTTAGGCCAAGTCTTAATGTTGTTTTGAGCTGATATGGCAGGGCGTATTAATCTTTCCAATGACTTCAGGTTAATCTGGCAACTGTCACTGTGGAGACGGAGGCTCATTAGTTTGTTGTGGCCTTGTCTGAATGTCACCTGAGGCGACTCCAGAGCCGCGGCAGAGTTTTCTACACACACTAACTTTCTACATTTTTCTTTGTTTGGGTCTGTCCCTCAGGCCTTTGATACCCACCAGGCTTTGGTAGCAGAGAAAAAGTTCAGCAGGTGATTCACTATTGTTTCATTGAACACAAAACCAGGAAGTTGGAACACATCAGTTGCGGTTAGCTGAACCCGACTGAACTCCGTCCCACTAAAGCGCCGTAGGAGGCGTCGGGCACAATACAGGGCGTGTGTGTGTGTGTGTGTGTGTGTGTTTTTTGTGAACTGGGAGGCGGGGATTAACTGGATGCACTCCTGGCTGGATTCCAGTTTGGCATTCCTCCAAATAGTCCGATCTGGCTAAATGATATGCATCACTTTGCTTCACTTTGTACCAATCATACATCAACAATCAGCTCATATCCACTCAGTCCAACAGTCCACTCGCATTTTGAGATTTACTTTTTTTATTGAGGAATTTTTACACATTTTTTTTTTTACAGAAATAGAACTAAGAACAGAAACAGTGGGGGGGACCTTTTTTATCATAGCATCATCATCTGCAGCAGTCGTCATTATTTGAATGGCAGCTTTACATAAAGTCGGGTCTTATAGGCTCAACATATTCTGTCCATTTTGACCAAGTTCTACAAAATGAGTCCATTTGCAGTTTTAGGCCAAAAGACACTTTTTCCATTTTGTAGATTTCTTGTATGATGTTGATCCAGTCCTCAGTTCTCTGTCGCTCAGGCTTGAGCCATCTTCTGGTGACGGCCTTTTTAGTAATAGTTTCTTGTCTCCATTGCTGAGGCCGTCCAGGACTGTGTTACCAACATACACAGTTTCAAATGAAAGGGGGAAAACAATTGAGAACACATTTTGTACACTCTGATGGATCCCAACCCAATACTCTTGAATAATTTGACAGTTAAAAAAACATGGAAATGATTAGCTCCTTCAACGCCACACCTCCAACAGGCATCTCCAGTTCCCCCGGTATCTGTTTTGGCCTGGTGTAGTGTACATATTTTTTGTTGTGTTTTGTCCTTAGTGTTGGTTAATTTGTCTTTCTTTTGGCTCCTACAGCTGTTGACCAAGAACCCGGCCCGGCGTCTGGGCTGCGTGGCCTCAGAGGGCGGCGAGGACGCAGTGACCAGCCACGCCTTCTTCACCACCATCGACTGGGAGAAACTGAATCGTAGAGAAATAGAACCACCCTTCAAACCCAGGATTGTAAGTCACGTGAATGATTTTATTGCTATTGTGACAATGTGTAGGAATGATAACGGAGGTGTTGCCGGTGGATTCGTCTGACCTTGAGGCTGTGACTGTGTTTTTGCTAAAATGTTACTGCTGGGAAATAATCCTGTTTTGTTCCTCTTCAGAAAACACCAGAGGATGTGAACAACTTTGACCCAGATTTCACTCAGGAAGAGCCCACCCTCACGCCCATCGACGATATCATCCCTTCCACCAACCAGGACGAGTTTCGACACTTTTCCTTCACTTCACCTGAACTGCTGGAGAGCTAAGAGCCTCCTCGCCGCTCTGCCGCTCATCCAGCACTTGTGTCAAACTTCTCAATCTCTATGACTTTGCAGAAGACGGTATGTACAGTATGACGCTGTCACATTCCCCAGAGACATGACTACGCAAAGTGCAAAAGGAGTCAGCCAAACACAACCTCAACGAGAAACCGGGGCTTCACATGAACTCTTAAGCGCTTGTGAAATTGTGGCCTGTGATTAGCTTTTGGAGTTGCATTTAGTTTTGACTGTGACATGACTTATCGACACATTCGTGCGAGCGTCTGTGTGGACAGGATGTATTTCACATGTTGTTGTGTTGTAATGACTTTGCTTCCATTTACGTCAAATGAAAAAGCACTTTTTGGAACATAAAGACATAGTTTGTGTGTTGTTTTGGATTTTTTTCTCCGGGGAAGAAATCGAGAGTCAGTTTTATCCCCAAGCTTACAAGAGATTCCCAGAAAAGTCAAAGTTCCAGTTAAATCCTGGAAGGACTGAGGGAGCAGTTGAAATATTTTCTCTATGATGTGACCCTGCTCTGGAAAAACCGCACAAATCGACACGGACCCACACGGACCGGCTAGAAGAGGTTCATCCGTTTTTAAAAGAAAAAAAGAAAGAAGGAGAAAAGAGTAAAACCTGAACAAAAAGCAGCAGCAGCATATCTAGGTCAATTAAATTAGGTTCATTTTTAATCAAATAAAAAATTTAAAAGGATGAATTGTCTCTGTTGCTGGATTCAGTTTCTCATAATAAGTGATGTGTATTATTTATTCATGGGTTACACCCCGTAACAGAAACTTGGCTTCCATCTCAGTGACTCTCCATGTAAAGCGATCGGCCAGGCACGTTGAGAGTGATGCAAGATTTCTGCTGATGCGATAGCGATGTGGTGATTCAGGCTGACTGGGAAAAGTCTGTCGATTTCACCACACAGTTTCCTGAACAGAAGAAGAATGCTACAGTGCAGCTTTTGACGTCTGCCAGAATTAAATGAGTGTTTGTTTGTCTTTGCATTTCTTAAGAGTGACAGTCATAACTTTTTTTTTTTTTTAATTTGCTAATGTGCACTCTCTCTCTTTCTCTCAACAAACACAGAGCCTTTGAAAGCGTCCAGGTCTGTGGGTAGACTGCCTGGGTAATGGGAACTCACGTGGGGTTATTTTCAAACATGCAAATGCGAGAAAGTTATAGAATATTCCCTCTGCTGAACACTGAAACCACTCTCCCTGAGTAAAAACTGAAACCAGCAAGAGGACTCAGAATTTTAACCCTATAATGCAGCAGCACCGCCCGATCGTGTTGCGGGGGCTTCGGTTGTGCACTTTGTCGCTGCAAAACAGTAGACAAACAGGAAACCACACAGCGTCACTACAGTCGCCTTTGATCGAAACAGGAAGACACAAGAGGAAAAGAATCTGGCTTTTTTTTGTGACACTTAGAGCTACATAAAGACACTACATCGTCCACTGTTGACAGTATAAATCGAAAATAATAAAACAACAAAGGAAGCAGAATATGAATTTCGCGTGTCTGAACCGGCGCAGCCATGACCTCTCAGGACATGAACTCTTCCTGTTAGTCTGAAAGAGGAAGTCTTCAGGCTCCGCATATGTTTAACTTCTCAGACCCGTATCCTGTCGAGGATTCTGCTTCTATATTCTGTACATTGGCAGCTCGAGATACAAAAAACACGTCTTCATTCTGAAATCAAACAAGCTAAAATGTGTGTAAAAATTATTAACCCCTGGATTTAACATTGAATCATAGTTTTTAGGCCTTTTTAGACAAGAACTTACAAAAAAAAAGACTCCTTCATGTTGGAGTGAAAACTGATTTCTACTAAGTAATGTCAATTAAATGCAAAATAAGGGATTGCATAAGTATCCACCTTCTTCAAGTCAGTATAGATGCATCTATTACAGCATTAAGTCCTGTGTGGAAAGGCCTCAAACAGCCTTGAACATCTGGACACTGCAACTTTTCCCCAATCTTCTTTGCAAAACTACTCATTTCTGTCAGGTGGATCATAAGTGAGCAGCCCTTTTGTAGTCCAGCCACGAATTCCTAATTGAATTTAGGTCTGGGTTCTGAATCGCTCACTCCAGAACATCCACCTTGTTGTCTCTCAAGCCTTTCTGTGTGGTTTTGGCTGTACGCCACAGGGCATTGTCTCACTTGAAAACAAATCTTCTCCCAAGTTAGGCTTCTCTTGCAGACTGCATCAGGTTGTCCTTCAGGATTTCCCTACAAGGTGTCTCAGAAAAGTTCCAGGACTGGTGTCACAAAAGATATATTTCAAATCCAAACTACAAGTTTTCCCCTTCAAAGTAATCCTCCTGGAGTCTAGCGCACTTTTCCAGCCTGGAAGGATTCATCCAGGATCCTCCGTCATCATCACAGCCATCTTGATGTCGTCCACGTCTTCTAAACGGGTCCCCTTGATGACCCCCTTGAGCTTGGGGAAGAGGAAACAATCCCGCGGAGCCAGGTGGGCTGAGTAGGGAAGTTGCTCCAGCACGGAGATGTTCTTCTCAGCCAGGAACTGTCGCCAACTGTTGAAGCCACGACTTGTCCTGCCACAACTCTCGCCTCCTCTTGCGCACTGAGCAAAACAAACGCCGCAGGATCTCTTTGTAGACGTGCTGGTTGATCGTCTGAAGGGGAAAACTCGTAGTTTGTAGTTTGGGTTTGAAATCTATCTTTTGTGACACCAGTCCTGGAACTTTTCTGACACACCTCGTCTATTCTCGTGGCTTTCATTTTACTCTCTACGTTTACAAGCCTTCCGGTTCATGCGGCTAAGAAGCATCCCCGCATCACGATGCTGCTGCCACCATGCTTCACGGTGGGAATGGTGCGTTTGTGCTGATGTGCAGTGTTTGGTTTCTGGTAAACACACTGTCAAGCGTGATGGCAGAAAAAGCAAAATAATGGTCTCATTAGACCAAAGACCTTCGGAGTCTTTGGCCGAGCTGAGAATTAGTTTGTTTTTACTTAACTGTTAAAAAAAAAGCAAAGTTATGCTAACATACAAAAACTACGTTTGATCCAGGTATGCCAACAATGTCACAAATCTCTTTCTATTATGGTTCAATCCCTGTTAAGTCTATGATTCATCTTAAACATAATTCTAAGTCAATATTAGGAGGTGCATTAATCTTACGACGCTGAAAGCAGCAAACTAATCCACTTTAAGCTTTTCTTAACGACAATGATCACCATGTGCTGTAGAAAGACGAGGACATTGGATTAAACGACGTGAGTTTTTGTTTACCCATTACTGCGGGCCTGTATGGCAGCTTTCCCCAGGTAACGTCTGAACGCCAGGGAAGATTTATGAGCCTTGTCTCAGCTTTCATTACTGAGAGTTACTGATGGCTGCCAGCAGTGTCTCTGCCTGCTTGATTGAATCAGTATTTAACCCAGCTGTCCTGCCCGCTTGATTGATAACCCCAAAAGTAATTCCCTGCAGAAATCTATATAGATGTCTATTTTTGTCACTTGCTGGGCATTTTGTGCATCAATAGAAAATGAGTCTACATCTCATGTTCAGCGCTCCAGCCTGTAGTTGTTACATTAGATCACGACTGTCACTCAGTCAAGGAACTGCAGACAGTGATTAAGACATTGAGACAGAGGGCAGGTTCCAGGCAGACGGTGCCCATTATTACTAAGACAATGCAAGCTTTCTTGTGCATTTCGACATTTCCCTTCCAGAGCTGTGTTAATGGTGTTATTACACAGGGAAAACAAAAAACCCCTCAGTGTCTTTTAATGGTAATTTGAAGACACAAGAACAGGTTGCACCACAAAATCAACCTGCAGGTGATCCTTCAGTTTGCACACCAGATGTATGTTACAAAATGCTCGTCTTGTAGTGTTTGTTCTCTCAGATACGACTGGCAGGGTTACAGCTATAGACATTTAGTGCAGGAAAAGGTGTGGCTGGCATCTTAGTCAACCTCCAGACACCTTAATATCGATCAGAGTGACTAAATAAACAAACAATCACGTCATCCATATAGTAAACCACAGCACTAATGACTAATTGACTTCTGGACTGAGAACAGGCACAACCAGTTTGGCAATATAAAGTTAAGTTAATGCTGCATATTGTAGTAAAATCCAGATGAATTTAAAAGATCTGAAAGTCTAAAAGCAGCAGCAAGCAAATAAAAACCCCACTGCATCCGTGTAGATGTCCTGTGATGTTCATCTACGTCTGTCTGATTTATAGGTCCACTAATGAACAGAGGTCTTTGTTATTATTATGACTGTTCTGCTTCAAGCCAAATAGTTTGCATGTCTTTTCCAGAAAACAAATACAAAGTCCAAGATCAACTCTGCCACTCACGCTGAGGTGTACTGGCTCCCACCCAACGCTTCTGAGAAGTGACAACCGAGGCTTTGCCTAATTGTCATGGGCAGATGTAGCAGCCCACATGAGCCAGCTAATAAAGAAAGTAACAGAAGACAACACAGGGAATTAAGTGGAAAGTGAACTGTTGTGGGATTTTTGGGAGGTTATTTTCCCTTTCATTTTTCATTTCTGAAGCAACAAACACATCAGAGGATCAGAGACGACGTGAGTAACTGCCAAACAAAATCCACAGAGCTGAGCTGAGGGAGGAGGAGCCTGACCGAACACAGATCTCCAAACTTGTACAGGAAATTTACCAAACCCAGCTCCATGCCAGTGGCTGTGAGATGGAAATCCACATATGTCCTCACAGCTTTTGTGCTAAAAGCTGGGAAACGATTTCAAACAATGTTTAACTTTCCTGCATTTACAACACGAGAATTTAAACACAACGTAGAGTATAATGCTGCTGTAGCACTTATATGTAAGCTGTGTTACTTGGCATTTATACACACAATATATATTTCATTTAACACACTGTAGTTATTATTTAACAGTATTTGCCAAAAAAATATACATTTCTATGAAGAGGTGTTTTATATTATTACACATGTCTGACAAAATTATCTCAGCTTTCATCTGTTTATAAACGATAAGATGAATACAGTTCTTACCACCATAAAAAATACTTACACCTACTTACAACTGTATTATAGTACATTATAAGTGCTTATTAAATGTTTACGCACTATTTACAAATGCTATAAAGAGACACTAACAGTACTAATAAATTCCCACACTTGCCTCCGGCGCTGCAATAAAAAATGTAGGCAGTCTGGATTAGAGAGGTTTGGACAGAACATCTTCTTCTTTCTATAATTAAGTTCACACACAAGCTGTTGCTTATATCTAATGAAACATTTAAGCTTTTGAACAGCAGCTTGTCCTTAAATCTAAACACGCCACAGTCAAACCAATTCAAGTTATTTAATGCATTATATATATATTAAAAAAAGCTGTTGTGCCAAATTTCCAGTAGAGAAAAAAAAGTTTTTTTTTAAATGAATCCTGAGGTGTCATGAATTCGTCTTACAAGTTTAAACACTACGTTTAAGACACCGCTGTCTTAAAATGTAATTCTACATGAGTAGTTTAGTTGTTGTGTTTGAGAGCCTGCGATATTATATAAAATACAAATTTCCCAGATTAAATAACTAATACAACGTCAAAGACCCTACAATATTATTTGTGGTGTAAATGTACTTAATTTAAATATTAAAATCCAGAGTTTACAGTACGCATATAATACAGGTTAACTTGACTAACTTACATGCTAAGGTTTAGACGATGCAGCATCATATAGGCCCATGCATCCATAGACAGGAAGGCTTTGTCTGCTCGATGGGCCACTTCAGGACAGAAGGTGTGCTGTGTTTTTGGTAAAGCAAGTTTTGATTTGCCATTTGAGGAGAACTGATTTGCACCCAAAATGTAAATAGTTGCCCCCTTCTTTGCTGTTCAGACACTTGAAAAACAAGGAAGCTTATTTGTCTTCAAAACACTCCCATAAACCCACTAACTGAAACACACTGTGAGCCTCCACATGCACACGTTTCACACTGGAGGGACAGAACAGGTAGAACAGGCTCATATTCAAACATCCTCTGTTGTTGTGGACTTACGTTACGGTTTCCTAAACACAGCAACACTAATCAGAAGTTACCGTTTATTTATTTATTTATTTCATTTTCCTGTGCGCGTCCTCGATGGAGGAAAGCATGTGATTGCGCGTCCCCGCTGCCTCTGCGGGAGGAGCCAGTGATCCTTTACGGCGCAACATTGTCTCAGCAAGTCAGCGCTCTCCAGCGTGGCACTATTCCTGAAGAAGAGCTCACCGACGGGCTGCTTTTAGCCGCCGAGAGATCCATTTCCTTGACGAAGCACACACGGGGGGAACTCTTATGCAACCCGCCTGAGGACTTACGGATTAAAATCGGCGAAAAATCGTGGGATTTTGGTTCATTTCTGCGCGGGCCCCGGATACAGCTTGCTACCGATAGAGAGACTCTACTCAGGTCCTCTCGTCCTGACATGGACACAGGAATTGTACCCGAAAAGAAAAGGTAACGTCAAAGCTAGCTCACGCTACGTATGAAGCCGTTTCATTGTTTAGATGATAGATGGACAGCTTTGGTTGTTTGGTGGTATTTGTTTGCTATTACTTATGTGATATTATGGCCTTTATTCGAAGGTTAGCTGTCGGTTCTGTGTGTTTGTTCGACAGAATGTGTTTGCTAGCGACGCTATTATCGTTAGCAAGCGGCTAACGCGGCTAGCTAGCAGAGCTGGAACCAACCAATTGGGTTAAATCGATTATTTAGCCATCTGCTAACGCCAAGTAATTGCTACCGGTAATTGCTAGCTGAATTGATATGGTCTGTTTGTCTTTATTAAATCTGCGTTCAAATTAATTTAATCTCGCCGGCTGAGGTTATTCCATGTTGTATTTGTGTTGAGACTTACTAGCGGTAACGTGATCGGTATTTACATAAGTTTTAACCCAGCAGTGGCAGCGATATTCTCCTATTTATAGTGTGTCATTGGCGGGGCACTGTTTGCAGTTGATGTGCCAACCTTGACAGTGTTCAGTGAGAAGCTGCCAGCGCTCATGTGAGCAGTGTGGTGTGGGGTTTCTGTTGAATTATTTAGCGATGGTTTGGATTTCTGAGAGCGTTTAAGGCTAATTTTTGAGTAGAGAAGTAGTAATAATCATCAGATTTTTGTGTGCTATGGCAGCTTATACTGTACGTTGTCAGTGTAATTGCCTTATAGACGACTTTCACATTTCCACAAAACTTGATTCCCCCCCAAGGATTGTATGTTTAATCATCAGCAAAATTCCTCATTAAAGGCTCCTAACTTTATGTGCCAGAGGTTAGGCTGGTAACCGAGCTTTAGTTCTGTCTGTCCACCCAAACAAAGTGAGTGAAAGTGAGAGTCAGTGAAACATCCCACAAGGTAAAGGGAAACCGATGGTTCCTTCATCTGGTAATAATAACGGACCATCAGATAAAGGTTGCAGATTGAAGTTGTTTTCATAATTGGTTAAATGATTATTCACTCATTTACTACATCCCTAATAACACTGTATACGTAACATTTACGCAAGACCAGTGGATTGATTTAAGCTGTATACGGTTGGTAAAACTAGCAATCAAGCCTGGAAGTCTGCATTGAGTGCACTGTGGAGCTGACCATCATGGGTTGTATCGACATGCTTCAGTAAAAAAGACAGCTAATAATATTGACCGTGTAATTGGATAACTTACCCATACATGTCCAAACTCTGCAGCAAGCAGATTACTAATCTGAGCCTTGATATTGTTGTTAGATGCACAAACAGGTAGTGAGCTTATGCCTTGGAGTGCAAATCTCAGTCCTCATTCTTGTTTACATGTACTATACATCTCAATATAGAGGGTTAAGGTAATGGTAACAACGGTTAGGAGACCTACGAGTAATCTCGTAAACAGAATCAGTCCTGAAATAAATAAAAGAGATGGTTGTAAAAGTGTTTAGTGGCTGGTCATCAGAGTCATAAAAGTGGAGAGAAGTTGGAGGTCAGTTGTGGGTGAAGTAGAAACAATGGCACACTTTCACGGAGGGCAAAGGGAAGCTGCACTGGGAAGTACACAGAAATTTAAATCCCACTGTGTAACCTTGTCATAGCAGAAAACTGAGCTGTGCGCTGTCGTGCAAGGCCAAGACTGATTGTTAAAAACGCTATGATTAATATTAAACGGAAACAGTGCGGTCTCCAAAAACGTGCTCAGTTTTTGAAACTGTTGTTTGAAACACTGGCAGCTCAGCGTGGGTGCAGATTGTTCCAAAGATAAATAAAAAAAGTCTTTCTACATGCTGAAGTCTTACCAGGATGTCACTCTAATGGCTCAGCAGCATTTGGTTAAATGTCTGTAAACTGAGCAGCCTGATGACCTGTAATTCCTGTTTTGTTGTTCAGTTTGAAGCCATTGCCACAGTGGGGGTGTGTTACCATAGACAACACTCAGTGACCACTGGGCCTTCAGGTCTGGGTGAAGGGTCAGCAATCCTGTTTGGTTTACATAAATATTTGTTCCCTTTCATCTCTGAAGAAAATCCAGTGTTGCAGGCTGCTTTGATGCAGTTTTGGCTGGCTGCTCTGAGATGCCTGTTAGTACTTCTGTCTCATCTCTTAATCACCAGGGCTTGACGTCAATAGGAGTGGCCAAATATGTGTAGCGACTCACTTCTGAGATGCCCTGGGGCTTTCAAGTCGCAGGCTAGTTAGCACTTGAAACAGAATTTGGGTTACTTGCTGGTGAGGAGCATAGACACACACTGTTTATAAGTTATGTAAATAACAACAACTAAAAAAAATCCAATGTGTGCTGAAGGCTTGCTTTTAGCCAGAACCTAAATCACTGCGATCATGCAAAGACAGAACGGCTTTTTCCAGTGTGCTATATGAAGACAAACAAGCAACAGGCTTCATTTGTCAGGACGCACAGATGCTTTGTTCTAGAAAATAAAGACTTCAAAGGGCACAATATCAGAAAACACATGTCAGGGCTGTATTGTGAGGTAGGACAATGAATCCCAAATATCCAAATATACTGCGCACAGTTTATTTTCGTCTTCATTAATGCATGTCAGTGGGTTTTACCGAGTGTCTCACAGACAATGTAAGGAAGGAAGGATCACAACAGTTCCTCAACATGTCTTGCCTTTAACATTTTGTATGTTTCGCTGCTGATCAGTATGTTGGGGTCTGCTGCACACAAAATGTGCACAGATAATATATTTTAAATCTCAGATCTTTGTTTGTACGGACTCATTTTTCATTCATATTCGGATAGTGAGGTGGTGGTGTTGACAATAATATGATACCAAACTGTCAAATAGAACATGTAGAGAAAAAGCCATTACTGTTTAGTAAACTCAAGGTCACCAAAATGCCAAATGTCAGAAGCATGGCAAGCGATGGCTAAAAGTAAGCATCTTTCTCTTGTCATGTGTCAAATTTAAGTAGGAAAAAATACCTTGTAGACTCCAATATTACTGCATATTAAATGAAGGAGAATCAAGCACATTTATGAAAGTGTGTTATTTTTAAGAATTCTGTCATACAGTCATGCAAAGTATAGTTCAGTTCCTCCAATGCTCTTTTCACACTGAACCCATGCCGGAGATGAGCCTTTGTAAATGGCAGCACATGGAAATTTGAATGGAAATGTTTGCTCAGTTGCAGGTTGATGTGCTCGAGTCATGTGAGTCAAACTAGCCCGAGTCCTGTTCAGAGACCTACCATTTAGAATGAAGTGGACTTTGTGGGTGTCGTTGGCTAAATGTAATCCAATAAAGTACTCATTGAGGAGTGCAGCACAGTAATTTGAGTTAACTTTAGCTTGTTAAACGATTCATAATGTGGGTAAATTTGAGTGCTTGAAGGAGACCTCCCACGTTTTTGTGAACCATTCGGCCGATGCTTGGGAAGATTTCACGTGCAGCGACATGTGTATTGTGATAAATGGAAACCTGATTTTGCGTGATTTATAGTGTTAATCCCCACTCAGTAATCATTGTTATGACTAAATGGTCCTCATGCCAGACTAAGGAAGAAAAAATAGTTTGCTCAGTCGTGACAGAAAGAATTTTAACTAGACTTTCAGAGCTTTGAACTACCTGTCGGTCTTCGTCACGCATTTAAACTAAGTTATGTGCCATTATAGGAGTATTTGAAAAAAACTGTGCATAATACAAACTAATCCAGATAATGATTTAAACAACAACAACAAATACAGTTTCCACAGAGTAAATAGACTATAAACTAAAGCATATTGATCCAGTCAGCAAAAATTTTCAGTTTTCAGTAGGAGTTGTTGTTTGGGCTTTTCATCGTCAAGTTCCAAATAAATACGATGAACACCATCTTTTCTATGCACTTTGTGACTCTATTAGATTTAGACAAGTAGTATTAGTGCCTTTGAACGCCACCTTCTTGCTGCAAATCTAACAAGTAGCCTCCTTTAAATGATCTTTTATTCCAGTAGTTCTGTAGTTTTTGACTTTAAAACTAAATTCCTGATGTTAACGTCAATAGATGCTCATCGAAATGCAGTCGGTTGAACATAATAAGTGCCTCAAGCTAACCAGTCGGTGCAATTAAACTATAGAAGAAGAACGAGGTGTGAGTAGTTGAAAACAACGTGGAAGTGGTGATTTGAACAGTTAAGTTTCATCCAGCTGTTTTCATACAGGTAAATCTAAATGATTCTAACAGTTATGTGAAGTGATCGCCATCAGCTCAGATCATTGCAATCCGGCTCTTATGTAATAATTGTCGCCGGCCTGTTATTTAGATGATTGATTTGTCGCTGAGCTGCTGAACACAAGGAAAAATGTACCATCACCGCCCTCCACTACAGCTCTATTATTTCACTTCCTAAACAGGACGTAGTATTGATCTGCTCGTCCACTGCGATATATAAACTGTGCCAGCCGCACAGCGACAGCCTTGTATGCGGGACTTGAGGGGAAACCCCGACTATATCCAAAAATATCACACGCCAGCGGTTCATTTGGCTGTAAAAGAGGTTCATTTTCAGCCTTCGTTCGCTCTGCTCTGTGCGCTGGGTAGACTGTAGTGGTGTTTCTTCAAACCGGATTATGTAATAGATAAGACCATGTTTACTGTCACACTAAACAGGACTGACAGATAGGGAGAACATTTCTCGAGTAAAATAGGTCAGCCCCTTAGCAACAAAATAAAGCACACAAACCGCCGTGGTGGCATTGGTCGGGTTGATTTTCGTTGCAGAGCAGTTTGTTTTCCCCTAATCTCAAGTCTACAAGGTCACATCTGTCAGCAGCTCTAATTTGTTTGCATAATAGCAGCCATTCACAAAACATGTGTAATTAAAGCGAACAAAACTGCAAATGTGACTGTTTGCAGCGAGGCATGTCCAACGTAGGACCACCGGGCATGCATGGCCATGTGCATTAACACTGTTATGTAACGTAGCCTCTCTGCTGGCCTTTGTTCTAACATCCAGGGAACTGTTTGGTTTTCATCGCATGCTCCTAGTGAAAGAATCATTTTTCAAAT